GGTATAACATTCTCTACTACAAGGCAGAAGCCAAAAATTATAGTAGGTGCTTACATATGTGACCTCTAACTCTCAAAAGCCATAATGCAAGGTATGTTCTTTTATCTCATTTTACAACCGAGCAAGACATCAACTGCAAGACAGCTAGAAAGGAACTTGGATAATCCCAGTTCCAGGAAAAAATGTCTCTTAGAAGAATCTGTTTGACCTTCATCCAGCCTATTGCCAGAACTCCTTACAGGGAATTTTTGTTGCCACATGTTTCAACTTTGGATTCCTCTAATGATGAAAGAATTTCCCCTTGTACTGACTTGTAACAGTTCTTTATGCACCACAGAAACATGAGGTAGAAAATAATAAAGATTTTAAAAAGCGGTGGGTGAGGAGGAAGTTGGGAGGAAGAAGACAACCTGTTTTTCTCCAGGTATTTGAGGCAGAACAGAGAAAACAGCTTTATGAAAATATCTCAAGTTTCCACCTGGACTTGTGCCAGATTTCTTATTTTTCTTTCCAGCAGCAGTGACCTACCCAACATGTGTTATTTTTTGTGTAATAATTATAGAAGTTTTGGGCAAACTCCAAAATGCATGTGCTGTCAGTACCTCAAGCAGAACAGAAAAATATCTACATTTTAGTGGGGTAAAATTAGGAGAAGACATTTGTTTTTTAATATTTCAAATGAGATAGCCTGAAACGAGTACATGCTTTCCAGGGTAAGACTATGTGAAATACATAAAGAGGTGGTTGATTTTTTGTACCTGTCTATATAGGAATAAGAAAAATGAAACTCAAAGATATAAAGAATTTGGAAAATACATGGCTATTATTAACAGACAATTTCTTATATACCTTTATACCACAAAATACCTTTTATGAAAGATGTCTGCGCCCATGCTGAACTCAAATACTGTGGCCTTTTTAATAAAGTGGACCAAATTAAGAACCCGAAAGGTAACCCATCCTCAGGAGACTTCAATGGATCTGAAACAGGTTTCTCAACTGACAAATGCTCACACAGGAATGGTGTGATAAGCCTATTAAAAAGTCCAGTGTTCTAACATTTGAAATGTAAATAGTGTCTGCATGATCCAAAATGATGCAGCAAAAACAAAATAGCCTAGCTTGCCCTAGACTGAAAAGTAAAATGTTAATGAACCATGGTCAGGATAATACCCTACTATGGATATGCTATTCACAGCTGCAAAACTCTTGCAGCCCTCTGCAATAACTGCAATAGGAGGGTATCAGAGTTAATCAGGTTGGCTTCAGTCACCAAACTCCACTCCACACAAAGGGAACCTACGGAGCAAGGCACAACATCCCACAACGGTAAACTCCTACTCACCCCTCTCCCTCCACTCAACTTCCCTCCTCCAGAGGCTTCTCCCAAAGAAGAGCCCTGGCATCCCTGTGACTCCTGCCCATGAGACTCTCTAAGGATATGCCCACTCACGAGAAATGCAGGGAAAACAAAAAGCATCATCCTAGGTCCAAAAGAGCCTACATTTGAGTGACTAAAAGTGTCTCAAAAGCCCAGGTTGTACTAATGAAGACAGCACTGGCAAACATTCGCTGTAAAGGCCCAGATGGTACCTAACCTTTTCAGTCCAAAGTTTCTTGGCAAAAATATTCAACTCTGCAGCTGAAGCACAAAAGCACCATAGGCAGCATGCAAAGTAGTAAGTGTGGCTGAGTTTCAATAATACTTTTATTTACATAGGCAGCCTGCAGTTTGTATTTTGCCCGCTTTTGAACTCAAGAATATTTGCTTAGCTTCCATTCACAAATCCCATGTGGATCATTCTGCAAGTTATGGTTGAGTGTCTCACCTGCTTAGCTCTGATAGTACCCAGGAGTCACCTCCCAGCTATCACAGCCACCAAAGGAGAACTCCAGTGACAGTAGTAGCAACAGCAGCAAAAGGAATAATAGTGTCAGAAACAGCAGAGGTAACAGTAAGCACTTACTTCGTGACAGAGATGATGTTACATTTTATACTGTGTCACACTTCATAACATGCACATCATCTCACAATTTTAAAAGGGAAGTACTCGTTTTTCCCAAATAAAAATGGGGAAACTGAGACTCCCAGCAGTGACTGTCCTTCCAGAATCCTAACTGATAAAACAGAGATGCTGACCATGGTCTACCTGTAAGATTGACAAAATTCATAATCTCACATGCCACACCTGCAAAGTACTATACCAACGACAGCATCTTAGAAAAAACTGAAGGCATCAGAGAATTACAAACATGAGGTTAAGATCTGGACTATTAAAATAACCTTCCAGACCTGGCCTGGTTCCCATTGCTAAATTTAAAAAAAAAAAACATTCCCCCAACAGAAAAAGAACCTTACTTCATTTGTCAGTAATTTTTCAAATACCATTTATGCTTTTAGGTATAGACCTACAATCAAGAGTTCCCCATCTCCTTTGTTCTGACTTTAATTAAGGCACCAACAGCCTACAACTCCTTCCTACCCTTTCTCTGCCACTGAGTGTCTGATAGCCCTCAAGACCACTCTGGCAAAAAAGGAGGCCTGGCATTCTGGTCTTCTTGGGCAGAACCTTGTCAAGATCAAGGATACAGGTTTAAAATTGAGCCTCGATATGATACACAAATGGAGGCTTCCACACCTGACTTTGTTTGACAGGTCAGTCAAAGATGGGCACACTAAAAATATTGTATAAAATTACCCTGAGGCTATGTGCACGAATATATAAAACATAAATGAATATATCATGTCCAGACTTAGGATCCATGCTCAAGATATCTCATCATGTGTAATGAAATATTGCAAAAATGCATAAACCTCCCAAATCTGAAGCATGGTCAGTTCCCAGCATTTCGGCTAAAGGATGCTCCATCTCTACAGTCATCTAGTATTTGTCTCATTCTTTTATTATTCTTTCATGTTTGCCATTATATCGTGCTTTACTGGTTCTTGCAAAGCAGTGCATATCCCTCTGAGGGATTCCTCCTATAGAGACCTAAAGAACCTCAATGTAGAAGACTACTCAAACGGTAAGGCATGATGTGGAAATAAAGTTGTATTTCCCAGAGTAAAGTGTGCAAGACCAGAAACAATTTCACTTAACAAGAGTTGAAAAACTATAGCCTATGATGCCTAGTTAACAGATCAACTATTTTTGCGCAGCCTACAAATGAAAAATGCACTCTGTATTTTTCAATGGCATGGGAGGGGGTATCAAAAGAATGGTATTTCTTGACACAAGAAAGTTATAAAACTCAAGTTTCAGTGTTCACAAATAAAGTTTTAACAGAATCCTACCAGCCTGTTCATTATTGTCTAGCTCTGATTTTATGGTACAACAGCTGAGTTCAACAGCTGTTGCAAGAGACTACATGAGCTGAAAAACTGAAAATGTTTACTACCTTTGTCTTAAGAAAATGCACCTTGCCTTAACTTTAAGCCATTAGCCTCCCCTTGAAGAAGCAGCACCCAAATTCATACAGTACAGAAGCACAAAGTGGAAGGATCTACTTAAACATACCAGAGCTGAGGGCATCAATAATCGCTCCCATCCCCAAGACGGCACCACTTATGTCTATTCTTAACTGGGTAATGGGCAAAGTTTTCGGCCTTCATTTCGTTGCTACCATTTGCAATTGAAGGTGCTGATAGGATATAACTTCCAATTTCCTGACTAACAGCACCATTATTCTACATTGATGAACTGTAAATAGCAGCCACTTTATGCTTCCTCCTGACTCCTATCAGAGCCAGAGACTACAAAATGACAAATCTTCTCTGGATTTCTTGGCAAAAAGACAGACAGATATACGTGTACGTATGTAATTCAGGCCTTCAGCTTTCAATTTCCTTCACTCATCAGAAAGGGTGACAAAAAGGCTCTAATTAGATAATCCTAATCAGAAAGAATGGGGTATGATGGAAGACTTCAGAATTGCTATCTGTTAGCAGCAAAACAAAATAGATAGGCTACTCTCCCTGTAGGAGCAGGAGATTTATCAATAGACAAAAGGATGCAAAAAGCCAATAGATAAGGTGTAATTAAAGATCAGACCTATAAATTTTACACTGGCATAAATTTAACAGGATTTGCAGGTGGAAATTCAGGATTTAAGACCTGAGCATTCCTATGAAAAGAATATTTTTCAATTCTTTATCCAACAATGCTTAATACATAAATTTATTATTAAGACTAAAACTCCATGTCTTCAAGCCCTTTCATACAAGGGACTTGAATAATTCACTGCCAAAGTATAGTGATTTCCAAAAGTGGTCTATCCTCCTAAAATATTCCTCGTTAATTAGCTACAATCCTTTTTTCCTATTTTTTGAGCTTCAATATATCTTAGAAACAACAATCCACCTATCATGTTTTTGGTAATTGTAGAAACCATGATCTTGAAAAATCTCTACATTGCTGTGAGTTTCCCTCTCTTCTTAACAACCTAAGAACAGTATTTGCATTGTAATTTTGAACAAATTGTGGCAATGTTCTCTCACTGGTCAAAAGCTAGAACAGAAAAATACAAACAAAAAGAACCTCAAATGTAGAAGACTACTCAAACGGTAAGGCATGATACGGAAATAAAGTTGTATTTCCCAGATTAAAGTGTGCAAGACCATTTTTACCTTGTGATGCTTTCTGATATTTAAGCAGCCATGTAAGCCACTGAGACAAGCCTTGTACTTTGTGCTCCCTGAATCATAAGCAGCTGAAAGACTGGGGAGGGGAAGCTCTGCGGCATCTTTTGGAGAGCTCTGAGTCTGGTACAATAATTCATTAACAAGAAAAGTTCCGAAATCAATGCAAATGGATGGAGAAAACAGGTGGGACAGACCTGTTAAGGTACTTAACAACCTACAAGGAAAGCCAGCTTCAGTATTTCTACTTGCAATGAACTTCAGAATGGTGTGACCAGATAAACTCCAACGTGAAAGGGATAAAAAGTGTCCTTGAGGGTGAGTGTAAAGGGAGGCCTATGATCCACATCAGAATACATACCTGAGTAGGCCCAGTACGGATCACCAGAAGCTTTGCGCCTGCGGATCTGCACAGAGCTGCCATGTCTGCTGTCCTGCAGGGCCCCAACATAGCCTTCAGTCAATGCTGGAAGAGAGGGAGACAGGCAGTGAGACCAATGCATCACCCCCTGTACATACCCAGGTGACCTCAAAAAGCACAGATCTCTATATGGCTAAAAGAGCCTCTTTTATGTTGTAGAGACACAACTACAGGAAGGCCCAGAGCAACTCCCACAAGCACTACTGATAGTTTTTATTTTTATTTTTTATTTTTCATTTTTTAGTAGTGGGAATTGAACTCAGGACTTTATGTGTGCCAGGCAGGCACTGTACCACTGAGATATAGCCCCAGCCCAGCACTGCTGATATTAACAGCTGACAACGCACCTTACTTTGCACTGAGAAGCAGGACACACTCTGCTTTCCATGCTTTAACTTACTTAATCTGCCAAAAATACCCAGGCTGTGGGTTCAGTGGTCCCGATGACAAGCAATCAAAAAGTCCCTGAACTGGACAACCAGTAGAAGTGCAGCCTGTAGTTTTGGTTCCAATTTCATGAATAAGTGTAAACCCTACACATAGGCCCACTGATCTTCACAGACTAAGGGTTGCTGTATTTGTTTGAGAGATGGAGAAATTCAAGCTCAGAGACAGTTACTGGTCCCACGAACACAAGTGAACAAACAGCAGATCAGCAAAGGGAACACCTTAAGCCTGGCCTCTACCACCCAAACCCAGCGCAGGGTAAGGCCTGGGAGTCTGTGTTCCACATCCTTGGATCCAAAAATAGCTGCGAACCAGAAAACTTCCATAGCCAACGATGTTCAGGGGAAAGAAAAAAAGAAGTAACACTGCTTACTGATATATTTTTGAAATTTAAAATGAATCCAATCCATCAAGCAGAAGCAAAAATATTCACCGCCACTCTACAAAGTTCCATTTGCCTGATACAGTACTCAAAGCCTTCTCCTCCCATCTTTCCTCATGGATGCAAATTTTTCTTTTTTTCTGAATCCACACCTGAACGCTCCAAAGTGTAAGAAGACAAATATCACAGGTGCCCAGAATCCAAAATGAAAGGGAATTATACTCATACAATACACACCACCTGACTATGTTAATATTTAAATGCACCCAAACAAAATCAAGTGTGCTTTTCAAAAGCAAAGCAGCAAATAGGGGAACTGTACATTCAATTTAAGATGAAGATGGAAATGAGAAAACATAATACATTCTCAATTGCAAACAAGCCAATAATAACTCTAATAATGGTATTAGCTTTGATGAGACTATGACAGTCACAAAGAACAAGAAGGAAACATGTGGAGTACTTCAAACTTACACTTCAGTTGCAAAGATTATCCTTAACACAAGTAATACTTGAAAAAGATTCCAGAGAAATAAACTCTTTAGAAAAAAATGGGGATCTGATAAATTCCAAATAAACATCTAGAAGTAAAGCTATTATCACTTACATATGCTCACCTGTCCTGAATGACAAAGCAAAATCTAAGTTTAAAGTCCAACGAAGGTTTAGGTCCCTATCATCCAATCCCTCCTACAATTTTGTAGATGAGTCATTCACAACACTAAGAAGTTGACCATTATAAGGTGCTTTGGATCAAAAATAAAGTTTTCTCCTAGTCTCCTAATTACCTTTTCCTCTATTGAAGCATGCTAAATTAAGCACGCAGGTGAAACTTAGTTTCCGTTCATCCTGTTTCAAGTGTTTTTGCCCCAAATAATCTTTCTCTTTGTATCAAGATCATGAGTAAAATAATGGCCCACCATCTGAATAGTAAATATGCTTTCTATTTGGATATGGTTGAGCCTTAAGTTTCCACAGCTGGAACCAAAATTACCAACCTCAAAGGATTGTTGTGAAGACAACCCAAATCACTATGAGCAAAGCACTTAACTCATCGGACACTGAGTAGTCAATGCCTTTTAAATGCCTGAAATTTGTTAAACAATATTTAGTACAGAACCATGGTCATAGACTAAGACCAACCAAATCAATATATGAAAGTAATCATAGTAACTGAGCAGAATGTTCAGACACCAATTAACTGATTAGGTTGCAAACAAGTAATCATTTCAGGTATAACCAACTAATTGGTTGTGTGAATAAACCAATTTAACCACTCTCTACTGGGGGTTGGGATGTGTTGCTCGATTTTGCAAAGCATCTTTTTCTCAAACTATACTAAATTTAATTGATCTAAGGGATTTTCCTTTTTAACACAAAGTAGTGGAAATGTACTTCAGAATCTCAGCTTTTGTAATAATCACACCCTACTCCACCTACTTAACTGAATAGCATGAATTCACCAGCAACTCCATGCTACCACCAATCTTGCCAGCTGTAGGGTGTGCTGTGTTGGCCCTAAGTCGGTGGGTCAGTTATATGACTGCAGGTGTTTGGACCCAAAAGCTCAAGGGGGTAGTGAAGGAGCAAGCATGGGATCAACAGAGAAGCTAAAAAGTGGAACCAAGCCAAAAGACAAAGGACCAGTAGATAAATTCTGTGGACAACATGTAATCCCTGGGCAAAGTTGATATGAAGCTGGCCCTATCCTAGGCTTTATACTTACATGAACCACTTGCCTGCTAAGTTTCCCTCTTAAGTCTCTTGTATGCAAAAGATTCCTCAGTGACAATAAGAGTACTTTAAACAGTCACTTCAAGGTCTCATTATCAAGTTCTCCATCCAAGAACACTGTTGGAATACAGGTCTGACTGCGATCCCTGAGCTACTTTTAAAAAACAAACACAAACTCCTAGGCCCAGGATCTCTCTTGCTGAATTTCAGATTTAATTATTCTGAGGTGAGGCCCAAATATTAGTATTTTTAACAAAAAAGAAAGGAATGAAGGAAGGAAGGAAGGAAGGAAGGAAGAAAAAAAGAAAGAAAGAAGAAATAATGTTCAGCAGATAATTGTTTATTTTTTAAAGAGTCTCAGCATCTGGATAGGTAGCCCAGACTAGCCCCTAAGTCAGCCTTTACCTGCTGGGCAGCAGGTATGGGTATTTCCACTGTGCCTGACTCCTGGTGATTCTATTTTGAAGCCAGACATAATCAATAAACACCCCTACTGAGCTGGACCCAAGATCCCATAAGGTGCCACTCCTGTCCTATACTGCTAACTCTTGCCCTCACAGTTTGCAACTTCACAACCAGTCTTCACACCAATAAAAGATGGCCAGGCAGAAAGAACAGCCTCTGCGAAAGTGACCACATGTGGTGGCAGGGTCAGAATTGAGACAAATCTGAATTGACCCAGAACAGAGTTTTCACCCCAAAGCTCCTTAACAAATCAGGCAGAAAAGTAAGGAATGGCGTCTTCTTCAGGGCTGTTAAACCCCTACACGAACTCTTTATGAAAGATGGACAGAGTTGTAATTCCCACTCTCTTTTAATACTGAGATGGGGGGGGGGGTGCTTTACATTTCCCAGAAACTCTGAGATCATCGGGGTGGCGCAAGGGGAACCAGACTGCCAGTAAAGTCTCTTATTGGAGCAGCATCAGTGCCTGCAGTCGACTTCCTCCTGCTGAAAAAGCCAGACTCGGGGAAGCAGGAGCACCTTCAAACACTGTGCTCAAAGCAGAATTCCTACAGCCTTTACCAGACAGCATGGAGGCTTGGGAACTGAGGTCTCATTCTCCAAGCTTCTGGAATGATTAATGGAGAAGCAATTCTGCAAAGATAAATCCAATTCAAGAAACAGGAGGTTGATATCAGGAAGTCTTCCCATGACAGTGCAAAGCCACGGCCTCCACACTCCAAAAAGCAGATACATTATCTTCAAGTTATACACATACAACACATCCCAGAGGCCTGGGGACCTGGGCTAAGCAGGAAAATGCCTGTTAAAGGTCGCTCAGGACAAAAATATGAAGTGTGGAAATGCTTAAAACGTAAGAGTGGGCAGGTGGCAAGAGAGGTGGCAGGGCATCCCAAGGAATGTGGGGTCACTGTATCTTCCTCATATACCATCAAAGTGCTGAAGTACAACGTGGCTCTCACAGAGAAGTGGATGTTCAGGAAGGACTAATTCTGAGGGGCAAAAGAATGCCTAGGACAAGGTCCAAGTTCCCAGGAACTAAAAAGCACAACGATCCCTGGATGACTGCCAACCAACCACTCAGATGGAGTTCAACACCTGGTATGTGGTCATAAATAATGAATGAAGGAATGAAATAGAAAGCCCAATGGTGTCATTGTTCTGGTAGGTAGTGAATGGAGGGGTGTGTCATGATTTGTATCTAGATGTCCTCCCAAAGCCTCATGTGGTCATAGGTGGGAATTTTCAGAGGTGGCTGGGTATACAGTATGTGATGCTGGGATTAAAAATGTGTGATTACTAAATTAGTCCACTGACTGGATTAGCATAGTTCGGGTGTAGGCAATGGGAAGGCCCACCCTGGATGTGAATGCTTTATCTACCCTAAGGACTCAATGCCCAGATAGAATACAAAGAACAGAAAAAGGGCTCTTGCTATGTCATTTGCTGCTTTTCGATTTTGCTACTTTAATGCCTTCTACCCATCATGAACTGTTTCTCCTCTGTGGTGCCCCTGTGCCATGTCCTCCTGCTTTGGAGCCAGCCAGCTTTGGACAGAAACCTCTACAAACTTAGGTGTTCGGCATTTTGTTTCAGGAACGAGACAAGTAACTAAGACAGACAGTGTGTGTGTATGTGTGTATATATGTTTACATAAACCACACATTAGAGGCAAAAGCACTACATCCTCTCTCAGAGGCTCCCTTCTGAACCACTCCCACTATGAGAAACATCTGAAGCAGGAAGACTTATTATGGGTAGCAAATAGGCAATTCTTTGGGGAGGCCACTCAGAAATGAATAGGGGTAGCAAAGGACTTTATTACTTGGCACCAGATTTTTTTTTCAATAGATAAACAATTCATTTAAGGTAACTATATTTAGTTTTCCCTTTTTTGCATCTGTCAGTAATGTGTGATTTCTTACCCCAACCCCTAGTAAGAACAAAATCTTGTATTACTGGGACTGGGACTGTCATAAATTTTAAAAAACAAAGAGTTTTAAATTCTCTATTCTTA